GTTCATGAACTTGGAGCTTCGAGGCATGCCGACAACTGGCTTACTCTCATAAATTGCATAATATAAGTAGCAGGTCATTGCCAGTACCTCACAAGCGAATGAACATCAGATCATATCCTTGAGCAATGGGTATGGATTTTTTATGATAGGTTGAAGAAGGGGAAAATGGCAAATGGCAAATGGAAACAAATCAAAGCATAAGGGGTAGTGGGCACACAAATTTTAGTAAGATTGCATTAGATATTCAACGAAATAATCACACAACTAAAGAATGGCTAAGGAATCTGTAGATCCATATCAATAGGTACACGTCAACAGTGAACTCGTAAGATCAAATCTAAAGCAAAATGAGAGGGTAAATCAGATGCTGAATCAACATTCTTGAATGGTGGCACAAAATCAAACATGATCGTTTAAGTGACACAGCCTGATGCTACAGACTGTAGTAAATAAATATCATGTTGGCCATTCCGTTCCCATCCTATCCATGACAAGGAGAACAAGGTAGACAGGTTTGTTAGGCAATTGGCACAGCTGACAACCCAAAAAAAGGAAAAGGGTATGCAATAGCAGACAACAATACAATTGACTGAAAGTAAAGTCACTTCTAGAAGAGCATAGCTGGCCATAAAAGCAATGTTCACAGTAGCAATTGACATTGTGCATTTGTGTAACGGCACAATATCCATATTTTCACTTTCAACGAGGAGAACAATAATCAGCATACCTTTGGCCTCATCATACAGCTGCAAGCAGAACTGTACATATCATAAATATCAAATCATCAATAGGATAATAGCCATGTCCTGTTCTAAGTGATCAGGCATGCTCCTGCACAATGCACCTTGTAAGCTGATCTCTCCATTGCAATAGAGAGAGATATGTAAAGATAATTTGGAAATCAGCGTATCCACCTTGTAAGCTGATCTCTCCATTGCAAATTGTAAGGCGTTTTGGCTTTTTAGATACATAGATAGTAGATACATGACAAAAGTAATTTATGTAGAAAGGACAAAATGTCAGCATGTTTGTAACTCAAATATAAGTTAAGCTAAAGCGAAATAATTAACATGACGCTGACCACATCACAAGCAGCCCAGGTTGCAATGCAGTGCTGTGAATTTTGGTTGGGCATTCTTCCAATTTAGGGTAGCCTTCATAACTTTTGTATGTACAGACGCATTTTTCGGAGCCTGCTCAGCCACCTAAGTGGTGGATGAGGAGCAGATGATACACACACACATAGATAAATAAATAGATAAATGTGTGTGCAGTTTTAGTTCCCCTCTCACATAGAGAGCTACTCAAATATTTTAGAACAGAGGGGGTAATATGTCTGCCAACGAGCTGAGGTCAAGGCAGCTTGTCTACCACGGATCACATGATCCACCACAGCGGTCAAGCAGGGTTCGACGGGAAGTGCATTAAGATCTCCGTTCTTTGTGCAAACAATGGTAATCATCAGGCCGATGGATTAGAATAGCCTCCATGAAAAATAAATCAATCATCTAGATGCATTCAAAACCAAAATCCAACAGGATTGAACTCGAATCCCCTAAAACCGAAGAGGAAAAGGGACAGAGGTGGGAAAAGAATGAGGGGAGGGAGAGGAATGGAGCCTCACCAGCAAGTATCGGGAGTGGAGGAGTGGAAAAGATAAGCGAAAGAGGACGAACAGGGAGAGCAGCAACGGGGGGTACCGGAGATGGTGTGGAAGCGATAATCCTAGCGCTCCCGCGCGTGTCGCTATCCACGACCGAGGCGGACGGAGGGGCCTAGAAGGTGATGGATCCGGCCAACCAGGCGACACATCTGGCCAAACAACAGACGGATCTGGCCAAGGACGGGGATTCACCAGAGCGACATCCATCCGCGCCGCTGTGACGACGCGCTGGGGGAGTGGGTGCTCGCCCTACACCCGCGCCCAACGCCGGGTCCTGCCCGCGCGGGTGCGCCACGCTCACACTAAAGGTAAAACGAAACGGCGTGAGCGTGGAAACTACTAGGGATGGGAAAGAGGACTAGCAGGGAAGAACAAGGATGGGCCCTGGAACCTTCCGGAGAGGACGTAGCACCGCAGCCGTGCAGCCGCCCAGAGGTCGCAGACAACGGAGCAGCCTTGAGTACCCAAGGACGCAGTGGACGGGCCCCTTTGAGAGAGCGGAGTCGCCGATGCCGAGATTGGCGGGGCTCCTTCCCGTGCGAGCCCGTGGAGGAGCATAGTCGGCGAATGGAGGCTGGCGCAGGCGGATGGCGGAGCGGCAGGGGCACGAAAGCGACGGCGTTAGGGTTTGGCTGGCTGTAATAGCGGGGTCCACAGTGGCATGGCAGGGCCCTCATTGGTGGCAAGTGTGGCTCGTCTTGAGCCGGATCCACCACTGTGGAGACGCTGCCGTCGGCGGCGCAAGCCGGGTGATGGGCGGCCGCGACCATCAGCCATGATTGGGGGGAGAGAGGGAGAGCGGGAGGAGCGAATGAGAGCGAGAGGGAGCAGCGAAGAGAGAGAGAGGAAGAAAGGGGGAGAAGCCGGGAAGGGGAATCGGAAGCCGCTGTATATATTTGGTGGGCTGCCTTCGAAGTAAAAGCCGGACAACAGCAAAGGGAAGCCCGGAAAAGAGAAGAAGCAGGCCCAGAATCCGCTCTCGGAAAAATCAGTTTCAAGCAACGGTGGCCAGCCGATGGAAGATCCGACGGGCGAGGGAATTGCGGGCGACGTGGCCACCCTGAGAGGTGGTCAAAGCAAACTGGCATAATGATAGTAGATTTCGACATTATAAAGCTACTCCATTTGTTACAAATTATACACTTCACTTTGGTTTTATCCTAAGTCAAACCTTATTTTAACTCTAACCAAGTTTTTAGAAAAGTTTTACTAACATCTATAAGTTCAAATAAGTAAACTATGAAAAACAGATCTCATGTAGTATCTGATGAAACTATTGAAGCTGCATATGTTAGTGTATCCTAAAATAAATTGGGGCTCTTGCATTTCTACCCCTGTTTTGTATCGAAATTGTGATTTTGTCTTTTTGTGAATTTACCTCTACGATTTTAAAACGAAGCACCTGTTTGCCACTATTCTGTCATCCTCCCCTAATGGTGTTAAATTTTATACAAAGGACAGAAATGTCCATGCAATTCTGCCCCTATTTATGTTTATTTGTGATTTTACCCCTGATTTAGAATTAGACATTTATATTGTATATGTTGACAAAAATGATTTAATTTGGTCAAATATATTTGGCACGACTTGCAATTATTTTAATTTAGATTTAATATTGAACAAATTCAAAATATCAGATTTAATACTGAAAAAATACTCAAAATATTTGGCACAACTTGCAAGCCGTGTCTGCCGGCTAGGGCTGGCTGCGCCCGCCGGGACTAGGCAGGGGCGGAGGTGCTCACCGGGGAGGAGAGGACCAGGTCGAGGGAGTCTAGAACAGGGAACGCCGGGGCTGTCCAGGTCTGCCGCCGCCGAGGCCGCGGCCGCCGGGACTGGGTAGGGGCGCAGGTGCTCGCCCGGGAGGAGAGGACCGGGGCGAGGGAGGTCGGAGCAGGGCGAAGGATAGGGCCGCGCCCGCCGCTGTCGGAGTCACCGGAGCCGTGTGGAAGACGCCGGAGTCGGGTCGGTTGCGAGGAGACCAGCGACTGGGCACCGCCATTGCCTGGCGCGTGAGCGACTAGAGCCGGGCCCGCTCCTCGCGCGTGCACCCCCGCACCCCGGAAGTGCCGCCACACTACGTAGGACTAGAGCCGCGGCCGCGTCTCGAGTTTTGGATGAGGAAGAGCCATACAAGGATATGGGGCAGTGTGGTCATTTCGCCTTTCCTCTTCTGGTTTGAATTTTTTTTAATTCATCTATTCCCTGTCCATTTGACGCCCATCCAAAGCAAGGGCAACAGATAGTTCATTTCAAAATAACAGGGGTAAAAACACAAAGTTAAAAAAACAGGGGCAAAATCACAATTAGAGTACTGAACAAGGGCAAGAACGCAATTTTCGCAAATAAATTTGATCAAAGTCAAAAAAATTTAAATGAAGTCGAAGTTAAAATGAGCTATAAATTAAAATAGAGGGAGTATATTCGACGAGAGTGTGACATGTGAGCCCGAGTTGGATTCGGTCCTGAGAGCATGAACATGGTAGTTGTTGCTGGAAGTGTGTGAACTAGCTCGCGAATGAGTAAGCCCAGCCCAGCGCAGCCCAGGGCCCTAAGAGGGAGCCGGCGGCTGGCTCGCGGCCGCCCACCGAGCCGCTCCGCGCCGTCCGATTCACTAGTCAGAATCACAAGGAAGGCTCGGGCTCGTTTGCTGGAACCCAAATCGGCCAAACCCTAGCTCGCTCGCTCGCTGGCTGGATCGGCGCCGTCACCGGCTCGTCGCCCCTTCATTTCCCCTCCTCCTCGTCGGCTCCCCCGACCTGTGTCGTCCGTCACCCATCTCGAGCGGCGGCTCGGCTCCCGCCCGCACCCCCCTCGCCGGCGCCGCTGCCCCCTGCCAGTCCACGGATCGGCTCGCTCAGGTACTACCCGCCATTCTTCCTGCCCTCTCCTTCGCTTCGGCCTCGCGAGTCGCTGAGCCAGAAATGACCAGGATCCTTTTGCGATTTTGCCTTGTTCAAGATAAAACTCTTCGATTCTTTTCGTCGAATCTGTCTGATCTCATCAAGTTGATGTCGCAGAAATGTTTTCCTACTGAAATAAAGTTTGTCAATTTCACACTCCGTGCATAACAATTAGTTCTGAAGGATTCATATGCTGGCGAATTGCTCGTCGAATCTGACTGATCCTGCTATGGCGCCTTGCTCTCCTTTCCGCAGCGGACACACCGGGCATAGGGAACTCAGAAATGTTTTCCTACTGAAATAAAGTTTGTCAATTTCACTCTCCGTGCATAGCAATTAGTTCTGAAGGATTCATATGCTGACGAATTGCTCGTCGAATCTGACTGATCCTGCTATGGCGCCTTGCTCTCCTTTCCGCAGCGGACACACCGGGCATGGGAAACTCGACTCTCACCGACATGACGCTGCTGCCCGGCGTCGAGCCGGTCGTGGCTGGCCTGGCCGCCGGCTCCTCCTCCCCGGGCCAGGAGGGCAAGGCCAGGAAGAAGCCCATGAAGTCCCTCTACCTCAAGTTCTTCGACACCGCGCCCGACGGCAAGTCCCGCATCTGCAGGCTCTGCAGGAAGAGCTACTGCATGACCACTGCCACGGGTAAGTGTGTCTGTTGTGTTCCCAGCACGCGACAATGTTCTATGGCTGATTCAGTGCTGTTTACAGTGTTTATGAGCTTTCAACTCTTGGGTTGCGTCAGAGTAAGGATGTGATGTCAGGTGTGTGTGTGTGAAACAGAGGCGAAGCCAGGATAAAATGTCACCGGAGATTCAAGCGCACAGTACTTACTTTTAGCTTATGATACTGGAGTATAATACTTCCTTTAGTTGTGTTGCATGGAAATCAACGGATATGATTTTAGCCAACTCAAATTCTAAAGAATTCTTAGGATTCAAAGTAGTAATAGTAAGTTATTTAGAATTTGCCTCATTAAAACACACCTAATTTAATTATATAAGCTGAAGTCAATAACTTGATTTAAGCAATCGTCAATATAGTCATCCTCACGCCCTCCAAAACGCCGGTTGCGCTACCCTTCCCCACCTCCGAAATAACTAGATCACTTGTCTGCATAAATGGTTGTGTAGCCCATTTACACAATGTTTAAACGCTACATGGGGGAAGCGGCACATATTTTTCTTAGAAAAGTAATTTTTATTTTGGTCTCTTCATAAGTTATACTCATTACCTTTCATTATTTCTGTTCTAGACTTCTAGCCTCCGGCTCATTAAAACATGCTCGCAAAAAAGCAAACATTAAAAAGGAGACAAAATGCAAACTCAAACTTGCATGACGTCTTGCTGGAATGAGGAAAAGCATGGCAGCAAGCTCTTAATTTGCTAGAAGTAACAACAAAATATGATGTAATGCTATTTGGTGTTTACTTCTTCTATATAACTGAAAAGCTGAAAAAGATAATCATATCCTTATTCATCAATCGGTGATTAAGGAATTCTAAAAGAATACGATGTACTTCTGTAACACAAGCAACAAATGGGGGATTAGTGAACTCTAAAAATTGAGAAATCGGATTCTTATTTGTCAACTTTAGTTGCTAAATTGGGGATCTGGGCCTTCGGGGTTACCTCATCTAGGTTCTTTGGTAGAGGAGACGAGAGCCTCCTCGCAGTCGCTCCTAGCCACCAGGACGATGCATTTACGATGAGTGGTGTGCCGCCTGACGAGACGGGAGGCGAGAAGCCGAGAACGAAACGCAGAATAGTCTTGGACTGGTGGAGGGGACTAGTCAGGGAGAGGAATCGCCGATCTAGCAAAGGCCAAGCATTTTGGGCTCCAGCTGTGCTAGTGCTGCATGTCCAAGAACTGAGCTATTGTCTACTGGGCTTGCCGCTTGCCTTTGGCCCTTGTGTCTTGTGTAGTGCGTTGCAAGGCTGGCCGGCTAGACCCTGCCACGCTGGGCTGCTGGGCGCTGCTTGTCTGGCTGTGCTCTACTGGGGACCAGGTTCAAGCTATTTTTTGGCAGGGGTCTTGGCTGGCCAAAATTCGTATTGTACGAGAGGTGGTCGCTGAGTCGTCGGGGTCGGCCGACCCTGATCACATAACATAGCTTCGCCCCTAGTGGGAAATTGTTTTGCAAGAGGCATAGCCGCATAGACAGGGTTTCAGTATTTGCAGCGTTCACTTTTGTTTTCGGCACTTGAGCCGGCCTAAAGATCACTTAGAGCATTTCTCTGTTGCCTATTTCTAGGAAAACACATAGGCCAAAGAAAGTGTTTTTATGATTATGATAAGCACCAAATATGATTTTTTGGAGTTACTAGTTGCCGCATAAGAATATAATTTGTATACATGCACCATAGGCACTAATATGCTTTCGCATGACTGTGTGCAGGGAATTTGGGAAAGCATCTTAATAACCGCCACCCTGGTTATCACCAACTTCCTGAGGGCGTCAGCTTCACTACCCAGAGTACCATAGAGGCTACCGTGCTTAATAGAAACAAGAAACCTCATGTTCCTGTGCGAGCTCGGGCTCAAGCTCAGCCTCAAGTTCAAGTTCAAGCTCAAGCTCAATCTCAAGTTCAAGACCAAGCTCAACCTAAACTACGGTCTCAACCTAAAACGAAAGCAACGATTGATGTTGACCATGTCAACTGGTTACTTCTTAGGTGGCTTATCAGTGCCTCCCTTCCACCTTCCACTCTCGAAGATAATATGCTTATTGATAGCTGCAAGTACTTGAGCTCGTCTGTCAGGCTCTGGCCAAAAGAAAAGGTTCAAGAAATTATCCTTGAAGTCTTCAGAAGTATGAAGGAGGACGTCAAGGAAACTCTGCATTGTATCAGTTCCCGGCTCTCTGTGACTCTGGACTTTTGGACTTCATACGAGAAAATTGTATACATGTCCGTCAAATGCCATTGGATTGATGAAAACTGGGTCTCGCAGAAAGTTCTACTTGATGTGTGTAGAGTCCCATACCCATCCACTGGTTCTAAGGTTTTTCAAGTTCTAATGGATGTCTTGGTGATGTATAACATCGATTCAAGAATCCTTGCTTGCACACACAATAACAGCCAACGCTCAATACATGCTTGTCAGGAGTTCGCACAGGAGCTTGAGTCCCGTAAACTCCCCTTTTGTTACATTCCTTGTGCTGCTAGAACACTGAAGACCATCATTGAAGCAGGATTGGAGAATGTGAATGTGAAACCAATTTTGTCCAAGATCCGTGAGTTTATTCTTCACATCAATTCAAACCAGGAGATGATGGAGGATTTTAAGCACTGGACTGAAGTTTATCAAGAAGGCTCATGGAAACTCCCCTTTGACCATTCAGCAAATTGGAACAGCGATTATAATATGCTTGATGTGGTAAAGAAGGTAATGCATAGTCCATTCATGTACATTTGGGGTTTGCTACTGTACTCCCAAATAACCGTGAGCCGTTCATTTAATTAGATTGTATGGTCATTATTATCTATTACCTCCTAGGTGAAATATATATTTATATAATTATTTATTTTATAAAATAGGATAAATAAGGAAAGTTTATCTCTAAACAATCTTTCTTCTAGATTCTAATTGATGCATGCATGATTTGTTGGATGTGACAAATCTTTTCATTTTAGAACTTTGGATGACATGATATATTTTAATTTTGCATGTAGCGTATGTTAGGCTGTGACGTGACATTTTTTTAAAGATGTGGTTGATCTTTCTGTACACTAACATGATTAACGTGACATGTATATACATTTTGACCACCACTTTGTACGTTAACATATATATGGACGATGATTTGTGTGTTTTTGTGTAAATTTTTACCACTTTAAGACAAAAAAATATATATTAACATAACATTGTATAGATGATGAACCCGCTGGAAAAAAATTCTTTTAAATCCTATCATAATTGGTATACAGCTTTGACCTTGTAACATGATAGACTCATGTGTGTGAACAGAAACTGTAGCCTCCAACTCATGATGCGCTCACACAATGGTGCACTTGAAGCATGCGCGCCGAGCAATTTTAGGAAGGAATGGATGCGCGTGATGTATGCACGCCGAGTAGATTAGGGAGGTGGGCTTGATTACCTGGTTTTTGTTTTCTGTTATTCTAACTATAATTATTAATTATTTTGTGTTCTAAAAATCAAGGGTCCAGATTTATTTGAGATCTTACCTTCTCAAAAGTAATGGGAGTACCATAGCAAACCCCTGTACATTTTTACCATGCTGATGCTCTGTTGTTTAACTCTTCAGTTCTGTATACCCTTTTTCTTTAATTTTAGGCTCCTAACGCAATAGAGAACACCATCAAGAAGGTTGAAGAGCTCTTTGGACCAAGGGATTGGGTTCTGACTACTGCAGAGAAGTCAGTGATCGATTTGTTGCACTCATACCTTGAACCATTCTTCAAAACTACTACCAACCTTTGTAATTGCAAGCTACGAACTCTTGGGCTGGTCTTCTTCTTCATGGACCATGTCTTTGAGTTGATCAATCTGTGTCATGGCAGCAGCCACCAAGAATGGCTCAAGAACTTTGCTGGTGACATGTCCGAGACAGCTAAAAAGTTCACATCTGAAGCTTACAACATCTACACCTTCACAGCCGCAATTCTTGATCCAAGGATCAAGGGAGAGCTCATCCCTGAAACCCTGAACTCCAGGAGCAACTTGGAAGATGCAAGGAACCATTTTGTCCGGGACTACAGCAGCACCTTCCAAGCTGTTGGAAATGGTCATGGTGCTCAGGACACCACGGAGGATGCTGGCGCATTCTCCTTTGCTGAAGAGATTATTCGCAAACGGCGTCGGGTGAGCATGACCACTGCTGCTGATGAACTCTCGCAGTATCTCGCAGAGCCCCCTGCACCGATTTCCACTGATGCCCTTGAATGGTGGAGGGGCCATTCCTCCCGCTATCCACGTCTCTCCCTGATGGCCCGAGACTTTCTGGCAATTCAGGGGACCTCATTGGATCCTGAAGAACTGTTCACAAGTAAAGGGGACAACATCCACAAGCAGCAGTACTGCCTTCCTGTTAGTAGCATGCAGGCTATAATATGCATGAAGTCATGGATGCAAAGTGGGTACCAGTTCAATTTTCAGTCGACTATCATAGATTTTGAGAGATTGGTCGAATCTGCTACTGCTCCTGATGATATCGATGGTCCTAGCCTTCACAGCTAAATGCATATTCAGCAATCAAGAACCCCGGAATAGTTCTTTGGTTTATGTTTTTCTTTTTCTTAGGTGCTCATCATGTAAATAGTCCTTAGAACTTGTGAATGCGACTTCTAGTGTTGTCTCCTGCAAAATCCCAGGGTTAGAACTACCGCGAGCAGCTTGCCCTTGCATAATCTTTTTGATCCATTGTGGTAGTGACCAACCATGTAGCTGCAATTTATTTCTGTCTCTTGAAGAGGCCATGCCTTCATACCAAAAGGTAATTTTGCTTAATCTTGATGTTTTATTTTTTGGTATACTAGTTCTGTATCTCTAGCCGTGTAGCAGTGTTGCCTTTTGCAGTTCACTTCAGTTTTAGTTACCTATTGAGTTAACACCGCGCGAGCGTAGTGGGTGCTCAAATTAGCAGCAGTAGTTCGACCAGTGATGCTCCAAAGAATATAATCAGTGCAATATAATGGGCGATTATGCACGTGTTTTATCATTCTGTTGGGTTATTTGCAGATCCAGATCATTTGCTACCACAGTGCTCCAATAATTTTGTCACACAAAAAGATGGGCATCTGAGTCAAAAAGACATGGCGTGTTCACAAGTATGCATTAAATTCATGTGATTTTTCTCAATTGTTTTCTGTTGCAATTTGCGAACAGAGAAAGCAAATTGAACTTTGAAAGCGTCGATAGAATATCGTCGGCAGTCCTCCGAGGGGTATCCCACGAAGGTAAATTGATCGATAGAGATGCGTGTAATCAAGAACAAGAAGGCAACAGAGACACAAGAGTTAGACAGGTTCGGGCCGTCAGCACGACGTAATACCCTACTGCTGTGGTCTGTTGGTTTGTATTGGCTATCGTATGATATTACGTGTGTGATTGGATGTGGAATGGGGCATGCCGACTAGGGGACCTCTGCCCCTCCTTATATACACTAGAGGGGTAGAGTTACAAAGAAAGTATCTTAGTCGGTTACATGCCAAGTATTAGATTACAATATCTGTAGTATCCGATCAAATCTTCTAGATGTCTTGCAGTGTACGCCGAGCAGTGCTGTGCGCCGCAAGTCTTGAATCTTGTGGGCTGGACCATCCCTGACCGTGCGGCCCATGTCCCTTGCCGTGGGTACCTAGAGTTATACCCCCCACAGTTAGTCCCCGAGCGCCTTGTATCCTTTGAGCAGCGCCGTCTTGAACTAGTCTGACCAGTTTGACGTGAAGCCGACCAGTTTAACTGGTGATCCGAGCAGTGGAAGTCGAAGCCGACCAGTTTAACTGGTGACCTGGGCGGTGAAAATCAAAGCCGACCAGTTTAACTGGTGACCTGGGCGGTGAAAGTCAATGCCGACCAGTTTAACTGGTGACCTGGGCGGTGAAAATCAAAGCCGGCCAGTTTAACTGGTGACCTGGACGGTGAAAGTCAATGCCGACCAGTTTAACTGGTTACGAGACCTCGGACTTAGCCAAGTAAGGTTTGCTAGAAGGATGTAAGGGGCTCAGGATAAAATTTGAAAATTCTTCCCCTTGGGAGAAGTGTAGCCATTTAGACTTCGTCAATAAAGAGGGTAAATCAAGAAATAAGCACTACATTCACCGCCAGGTGAAGTATAGCCACTTAGTCCCCGGGCCTGGCAGTAGGTGAAGTAGTCACGTGGTGTCAGGGTCCAAAGCAGTAGTCTTCAGGTGCTGGCCCAGTTCCCAATGTCGCTGGAAACCAGTGTAGAAATAAATTCCGTCATCGCGAGATGACATGTACACACGTAGTCTCTGAGTCTGCTGAAAGATGAAGAATGAATCTTGAAGTAGGGTCAAAGAAAAGAAGTCTGAAAGCTTGCCGACATCATCTGACATGCGCGTATCAAGACCCCAGACGTGCTGTCCAAGATCAGCACCCTGATCCAAACAGTATGGAGCAACTTGATAGCACACCAATGAGACGTAGCAAGATCCGACCATCAAGGTAGTCCCCAGCTTAGCTGGCGACGCTTGCACGAAGAATTCGGACACCAAGAAGTCCCCAGTGTAGCTGACGATGAAGCCCATGCGATGAGCAGTCCAAACGCCGAGGAGTCCCTAGCTTAGCTGGCGAGCCCCAGCGTAGCGGACGATGAAGCAACGGACAATCCGACCAGTTGGTTGGTGAAGAATCGAGCACCGAGCAGCCCAACCAACTGGTCAGCGGCGAAGTGAGCGCCAAGTAGAAGTGAACGCCGAATAGTCTGACCAGCTGGTCGGCGATGAAGTCCATGAACATAGCGGTCCGACCAGTTGATCCGCGGAGAAGTCCGAAGACTAGGTGGTGCGACCACCCAGATGATGATCCTATAATAAATATGTAGAATGAGTAGTACATGATGAAAGGATCAAGATGCCCAAGAGGGAGGGAGGGTGAATTGGGCTAATTCTAAATTTTATGCAATAATTAAGTCCTACACTTAGCCCACTTCACCCCTTGTGCCTAGAATGTGTTTCTATTATTCTACCGCACAAAAGTTTTGCACCCTAGGTTCCAATCCTACTCTAGCATGACAATTCTAGGAATGTAAAGACCTGAAATGAATTGCTCAAATGTAAATGCTCAAAGTAAAGAGAGGGAAAGGAACACGACGATGATTCTCCGAGGTATCAGAGAGTCGCCACTCCCCACTAGTCCTCGTTGGAACACCCGCACAAGGGTGTAGCTCTCCCTTGATTCGCGTAAGGATCAAGTGCTTTCTACGGGCTGATTCTTTGACACTCCATCACGGTGAATCACCCACAACCGCTCACAACATGACTTGGGTCATCCACAAGCTCCGCCGGATAATCACCAAGCTCCCAATCACCACCAAGATGGCGATCACCAAGAGTAACAAGCATAAACTCTCACTTGACCAAGACAAGCCTAATGAGAAAGGTGGATGAACACTTGCTACTCACTATTCACTAATGAGGTCCTTAATCTTGGATTCTCAAATCTCAATCACCTCACTAGGCTCTTGCTCTCCCTTGTACTCCAAAGGTGTTTCTCAGCTGAACAAATGGGCAAGAGATCTCCTATAGACGAGTGGAGTAAATATTTATACACCCTCATTCAAAACATAATGTTTGGAGGCTGAGTCAGCACTCTACGGGATGACCGGACGCTTCGGTCAGGGTGACCGAACGCTCCGGTCAGTTATACCCGCCACTATGTTAGAGAGAGCCATTAAGCTCTAACCGGACTCTGACCAGCATCCGGTCAGCACCAACCGGACGAGTTCGGTCAAGAAAAAACCATTCTCGAACCTCTCTGGAGTTGACTAGACGCAGGCACCACAGCGTCCGGTGCTCCTCCACTCAGTGTTCGGTCAGTACCAGATGACTGTAGTTGATCAAATGAACTAACCAGACTCACCCTCCAACGTTCGGTCACAACCAGACCAGCGTCCGGTCAGTCATTTGACCCTCCATTCACTTCCAACTCGAAATCCTATGTGAATGAAGTTGACTCCAATTGATCTTAGGGCTATTCCTGAGCTACCTAGTGCTAGGTTTGATAAGTGTGCACCACACCTAACCCACTAGACTCACCTATGTTAAGCTACTAGTCCATACCCCCCTTAATAGTACGGCCAAAGGAAAAACAAAGTCCTAAACTACTCCAAGTGTCTTTCCAACACCAAACGACACTTAGAACTAGTCTGTTCTTAACCTTGTCGTCCATCCTTTGAAAATCGAAATGATTTCCATCGACAGGGGCATGACAACCATGATTGCCCAATCAATTTTCATTACAATGACTGTCGATGAAGAAAGTGACCAACACGTAAATATTTGTTGTTTTACCATACGTTGTGATCAGATGTGGCCTAGCACTCAATGACACAGGGTTTATACTGGTTCAGGCAACGTGCCCAACATCTAGTTTGAGTCGATCGGTGACTTTATTCCTAAGCCCAGGTGCTCGAAGTTTGCTGTGGGGTTACAAATGGAAGGGAGAAAGATGGGGGTGCAAGATGTCTGGTCAGACTCTGGTATGAAGGGCCGAGAGTGACGGGAGCTCCGCTATGTGCTAAGTGTTCGAGCGTGTGCTTGAGGTTTGAACCTAGTGGTTCTGTTGTTGTGTGTGAGTGAACTGATCGATCTCTCTGTTAGGAGAGAGCGCATCCCCTTTTATAGGTGAAGGGGACGGCCTTACAAGCGAGAGAGAGAATACACATGTTACTTAAGTCTTGTCGCCCATGCCGTCGGGTACAAGATGATTGTAAGTGCCCATAACACTGTTAAATGTCAGATGCATGTGGGAGGTTGCGTCGTCTTCTTTCGGTATGGCAGACGTCGGTGCCTGTCATACTGTTGATGCTCAGAGGGGCATGTAGGGGGTTTTACCATGTTCGCCCGGTATGGTAAATCCCGGCGCCCACAACACTGTTGATGCCTGGAGGCATGTGGGGGGAGCCTTACCGTGTTTGTCCGGTATGGGAGTTGATGGTGCCCACAACACTGTAGGGCAAATATTGACGCCCACAACACTGCTTGGGTTCTGTCACACCAGGAAGGTTGCAGGGTACCCTTCTGACATGCCCTGTTGGTACTATCCTACATGTGTACAGGGAACGGTCCTCGGTATTGCAGTTGACTTGAGTGCCCTGCCTTACTTTCTTCGTCCGTTTCCTGGTCCCCACCGAGCGGGCGTCCCCAATTGGTTGGTCCCAGTCGGCTCTGATTGCGCCAGTCGGAGAGAAGCTATAAGTAGGGTTTCGGTGCATTCTCGGTTGGAGAAGTGGGTCAGAGTCAGAAGTGGTGTTTGGCCAGGCCTTCCGGTCGAAGAGGCCGTCTAGAGGTGGGCTAGAGTCGGAAGCGAGCGCTGTCCTTCTTTGGGTCGGAGAGACGGGCCGGAGTCGGAAGCGGGCGCCATTCCTCCTCGGCCAGGCCTTCCGGTTGGAGATTGGATCGCCCTTTCGGCCTATCATTTAGGTTTTTGGGATGACCCAGGAGTTGCGTGTCATTTGCAACGTTGTCTGCTGGGCTGAGCCTTTGTTGAGAAGC